GATTCTTAGTTTAATTTCCTTGTTTAGATCACATATGTATACACAGAATCGAAATGATACAAAACATATGCGGTCGCTTTATTGATGGACCATATATTTGGAAAAATTAAGGACTTGACTTGCTTAAATATTCCAGTAGCGTTCCAACATGATATCACGATTTTTAGACAATACACATTTTAGATCAAACCTTCATACTTTAAACATAAGAGACCAACATCCTCTTCTCACTCAACAAGCTTTATTCATAGGAGTATTACGCATCAGTCAATCACAAATTCAACTCACTTCCTTTAAAACTTTCACACTATTTGTACGATACACACATGTAAATTATTGGAGCATTCTTACAGGTTAACATGTAGAACAAGTAAGTTTGTAGTGTAAAGATAGGTTTGTTTATATCATTTGTCTATTTAAATTCTACGTCTACCTAAGTTTAAGCTTTAAGCTAAATCTCGCCTTTTGTGATTAGTAATAAGAGCGATTTATTATTATTATCATTATTATATTATTTTGCGAAACATTGTGCATTTTCTGTGCTGCATGATAAAAAATTTCAATAAGTAAAAGTATCTACAGACTACACGACAACCATCATTCTGGACCTTATAGAACAGTGCCTTGCCTAATTTCCGCTTACAAATCATAATGGCGAACATGTTGTGGTAGCTAGTTTCGCTAGCCGTCGAGGTAATTTGTCATTGCATTTAACTTTCATGTTTAATATCCTGTGAGTTGTTAACCATAGAGGAAATTTCTGCAGAACAAAAACGGCTTTAGCATGCCTAGAGCTGTATAAAAATCTCCTTCTATCTTTTCGCGGAATGAAGACGCGGTTTTCGTCAAACGAAAGTACAATCAAACAGGTTAAAGGTATATGTGCCGTAAGCAGTATGAAAGTTTCAAGTAACTTATCGTACTTAACACAACACAAATAACTATAGTTCTAATTACAACTGAAAGAGATGAGTAACATATTAGAATTGTAGCTACGTCTGTAGTCTGCGTATAACATCACCACCAATAAAAACTTGTCACGGCTACTTTGGATAGATGCTTGCTTCAGGACCTTATAATTTCACGATGTTGTAGGCATTATAAAATAGCCCATTTATGAATGCACATGTAATTTTTTAATGGAATATAGAAAAGCAATAAATAACAAATAAATTAAAAATCCTACAAGTGTGGGCGTTGTTTTACAAAAGCCGCCTACAATTATTGTAAAATGTCTCGTAATCACTAGCGCGGCACAGCTAGTTACAAGTGATGTGTTACGTAATGGTAGTCTCGTACAAATATTTGCAGTTGTCGAGCTTGTAGTGTTTGTGTTACAGAGCCGTAGTTGGATACATGAGTCGCAACATGTTGTTGACTATCAAAACGTGTACTCCATGTTGCGCAACGGCAAGGGTATGACTTGAATCGGAGTTTGGGTCAAAACATGAGACATGCGTTAAGGGCAACACTTTTGTCAGACAACAATGCGTTCTATAACAGTTCTTCCCCCCTCCCCGCTTTGTTTTTTTGATTTTTGAACGGGTCAAGTTAGCGAGCTGAAATATATATTGCCAGAATGTTTCAAATTGTACTTGAAAAAGGCAACCGTTGTGGTCGAAAACCGTAAAAACAGTATTTCAAACATACATATATGTGGTTTGATATAGCAGCCAGATGAACAAGGAGTATTATCAGCATGAAAACCACATGATAAGTTTCAGATGTTACTTGAAAAATCTGAGTTTTCATTCGTTTTCAAATATGGGGGCTTAGCTTATGAGGGCCGTGCAGTATGTAATATCAAACTTCTTCTTTTAGAAGGATCTATCTGAATGTACAATAAAATATGGGACATTCCGTTTAACAAAATTGACACATTTTAATATTTTTTCAAATGTAGTGCTACATATTTTGTTTCACATTCAGGTAAAAAAGAATAATACGATGCGGTTTTGATGACTGGTTCTTGAAAACGATCAAGGTACAAAATGTTCGGTCTTCTGGTCCACCATTTTTTGATATCCTGTGGTTGTAATAAGGAAATACAAAATCCAAAACGAGCTTCCACACAACATCCCATTCCATTTAAAAAAAAAATTAAAGATGCAGTCTAGCAGCCATCTGGAACCTTTCAGCTATCACTTTTACTTTAAAATAAGGTCCAGCCACCATCTTGATATCGTCAACCACTTTTCACTTTTACGCTGCAATATTTTGTCCATGCATCAGTTTCATTACCCCAAATTTCAGCTTGGCCTATTCATAAAATGAGTAGGGCGTGAGTTTTAAAATTCACGTGAATTCTTGATATAGATTCTCTCCGATAACCAGTGTGTTTGCCAGAATAAAATGCTTAAGCCTACTGGATGAGTGACACAATTAGCGGACTAATGATCAAATCCTTTGATTTATAACGTCTAACATATAATTGAATCGATCATTTCAAAATCCTCATAAGTCAATTTTTCAGGACATTATATTTTTGCCACAGGTATTGTTGAATTTTTTGTTTCAAATCACCATATTTCCTGGCCTATGTATAATTATTTCAGATCCAATGATACAACCAATTAATTAACTTTTTTCCTCTGATACAAACTATTTAAAAGCAGTATGAACGCTGCAATTTCTATAAAAAATTTAATTTGTATGAAGCCTCCAGCGACTGACAAAAGAAACGAGTCGTCTAGTTCATAATTCCTGAAATTTTAAATTTCACAATCATTTCATATTAATAGTGAGGGTACAGATAATGATATGTATTTTGAATGACATCTAATCATTTTGTTGCAGAAGTAACATTTCTTTAATGGTGGTACAATAATCCCGACTTATTTAGTCTTCAAATATTTTGAAGCATTAAACCAGACTTTTTCATTTTTTTGGTCATAGCTCCGCCGCCTTTTTTCAGTCTTTCAGAAGTGAGCTTCGCCGTTCCTGAGGTTACGCGGTTAGAAAAATGCCAACAAGCACACATACCTCCAGAAATAAGTGACGAATATCTATGACAGGGACGTTAATAAGCAATTGAAATTAAAAAATATTCATAAAACAATATTATTCAAAAGTGTTTGGTGCAAAGTTTTAGACTTCCTTTTTTTTGTCCCTTAATGCTTTCAAAAATATTTTATTTGTGCCAAGGTTTCCCTACCAAATGTTATAATGCGTAATAGACAAACCGATATACATATTCGAATGCTTCAAGAGTATCAAGTCTGTTATAAGCGACAATCTGGTATACTAGATATACAACTCTATTTTGAAGCAGTTATTAATTTATTCCGTTTATCTTTGATTACTCATAAATTATGTAATATTTATGACTGTTCTGAAGACAATAATTTTCGATGATCCATTTGACTAATTTATTAAAGTGTCCAGCGGGGTTTTAAAAATAACTCAACTTCAAGTTGATCTTATCAGTAGAATTTTCACATTAAAATATTTTATATCTTGTGTATTTTAAACATTCATCAACATGTTTTTATGTTAGTGCTTGATTGCTTTTTCAAAGCCCAACAATTTTATTTTTGTCGTTTTTGTACAAAATTCACCCATTCTCGAATATCTGACTAGTGCTTGTTTTTCTCATCGGTAATGTGCATAGACAAAATAGTCGTTATTGAAGTGACACCAATCCTCACGTCTTCCGGGAAACTCATGCTGAATATCTACAAAAAATTAACGTTTGGGCTGGAATCATATTGTGGGGCCTCTATCCATCGAACCAACTTTAACCGCAGAACTTTATTTGGATATGCTGGAAAATACTATTGACCCTTTCGGTCTCCAGATCTGACACCTTTAGACTTTTTTTATGGGGATACTTGAAGCAAAAGGTGTACAAAACTAAACCTGCTTCAATATTGGATATACAACTGAGAATAACAAATATTTGTAGAAATATCGATGTTACTATGTTTGAAAATGTTCGACGCGAAATTACGAACTGGCTGTTGTTGTGTCAAGAAGTTCAAGGCAACCATTTCCAGCATCTTCTAAACTGAACTCAACGTATTTATTCGAATTATCAAATTAAATATCAATGTATTCAGGTAATTATTAAATGCACCACCATTTTTTAGTAGGTAACGGTATTGGCTTTATATTCTAGGGTTATAAAGTACTCGTCAGGAGCTTCAAAATGATGTGCCTCAAGACCCCCGTTTTCATATATTTTTTTTTTCCAAGATCGCGCCAGCGGCCAATTTTACTCTAAAATATGGTACCCACGCATCAATTTCATTACCTCAAGTTTTAATTTGAATTGATCCGTTCAAAAAATCAAAGGGGTGGGGGACATTAAAGAAAAACACTGTATACTTCTTACGCCTTCATTGGAGGCTTCAAAGAAAAGGGATGAGGCAAATCGTTTCAAAAGCCGAAATCGAATCTGGATTAGGTAGGTTCACTTAGGTACAATAAATCTACGATCTCTGTATATCAAACTTAATAAATCAAATCTATCATATTTGTTTCGCCTGTTGGCGTAGGAAATAACACAAAAATAAAACTAATCAATACATAAATTCAATGGGACTTTTTTTGAGTGTAAGCGCAGCGGAGTAACTCCTTCATTTTTATATGTTTTGCGTCAAAATGTGTTAATTTTAGACAAAATTAACAAAGTTTACAATTTTAGACTTTTAAATACAAAGACATAAAAAAGTTGATGAAAGTTTAAAATATCTATATTCTAAAATATTTAAATTCTCTCACTTGAATTTTGAGTTATTTTCAAGGCCAAGCACTCCGTTTATATACCTTGAACCAATCGTCATTATCAGATACACACTAAAAATAAAAAAAGCCTAAAATTTGCTAAAACACATTTAACCACAGCACGTAGAGAAAAACCTTAAAGCCCCTGCTGCTGAAGATGTCCTTCTTTCAACCTACTTCCAATCATTTTCGATATAGAATCTGCAGCTTACAATTCATCCACAGGAAATATATTCAAGAAAAGTAAAAAAAAATCAAAAATTACTTACGTTTAGCATCAGCGTGCGCCAAAAACAACACCAAGAGGAACGCTACGGCAGCCCCCATGTGTACAGCCGTCAGCGTTGGGCTGTGGGGCGGCTTCGTGGATGGGCACATCATGAGCGGTCGAGGCGCTGGTGCGATGGGCAGACGGAAGAAAAAGAAGACCGTTGGGCAGACGGAAAAACACCTTTGGGTTGATGGTGGTGGACGATAGAGACGCGCGAAGTGAATGGACGCGCCGCGACGGTTCGAAAGGCTTTTCAGCGCCAAGCGAAGGGCCTGACGACGCCGACGCGTGAGACGCCGACGGCGCTCGTCTATGGTGGAGGGACGTGTGGTGTGGTGCGGTGGTCATACGCCCACATGGTTGGCAAAATTTTGCTTCCCACGCACTTCTCAAAATCGTGATAAGAGACACTTGAAACGGAAATAAAATTGCGACCTTCGTCCAAAAAATGCTAGACAAGACAGCAGCCTTGCATTCCTCTACTCTTTTTTTTCTCGCAATCACGCTTGTTGGTTGCCCCCTAAGACGCAAGTAGGTTATCAAGCGGTAAAAATGGCTTTTGGCTAACGTGATTCAAATTTTGCATATCAAGAGGTAGTTTTCAGCGTGGCAATCAACTGCGCTCCAGCCCCCAAGGGATTTATGCATTAATTTCATTACCCGGAATTTCAGGCTGCTAACTTGGCCCGTTCTTAGACTAAGTAGGGGAGAGTTAATATTTACGTGAATTCTTTCTATAAACTCTCTCTGATCACCGGTGTGTTTATTGTTGAATTTGGCGATGGTCATATGCCCACATGGTTGGCGAACATTTGCTTGACATGCATACATAAATAACATTTCTCAAAATCGTGATGACAGAAGTCCGTCAAAAACCTCATTTTGCATGTAGGTAGTTTTCGACATGGCGATCAAAATACCCAATGAGGCCAACCCCCAAAAACCTTGCCGCAACCATACAACATCCATGCAGCCAGTGTCTTGGCACTATATCAATGGTGAGTCATCCAACTACCTATTTGAAGTCTTTTTTCCCAATTACTGCGATTCACTTTTTTATGGTGGGTATGCAAAGAACTTCACAAACGACTCTTTTTGATGCCTCAGGAGTCGCTGAGGGCGACTTATTACTCATGCACAGGTAGCCCACGGTAGAAAATGGTATAATACAAATAGGATGGAAACAAAGGTCTGTAAGGTAGTCATATATTCTCATTGATCAAGTGGATGAATTCCGCCAAATTGTCGAAGGTTTCCTCTCCTGTTGAAGATATTAGTGACATAATGTTGAAAGGATTTGGTACATAGAAGTCGATAATTCAGTTGATTAATCGAAGAGATTCATTCCGAGTTCTTTGGCATTGGAAAAATAGATGGTCCAGACTTTCGACTTTATTACAGCTTGTACATACGTAAGTCTGTATCTGTTACTGCAATTCGATAAAAATGCTCTAGGTAACAAGCATGCTCAAACTTGATGCTTCTCAGAGTCGCCTCAGTTTTTCTGCTATATTTGTATGCACTAAACTAAAGCCGCGTACAGATCGAAAATCCATCGCTGAGCAAACTAATGCAAGCACATGTAACGTTGGCGTTTGTTGTTGGAAGGTATTGGAATCCGCTCGTCTACAAGTTAATGTAGTTTCGAGTTGGACCGCGTTGGGTTGAGTTCGGTGCTAATGTTGAGCGACGAGGACGATTTACTGCTGGCGTGTGCGGAGTTTTTAATAATACATTGTGTAGTATTCAAGAAAAGGGAGAAACGGCCTAGACGTTGGTGGGTAACAATACCATGTCAAAATAGGGCCTTGTGTAGGTGAAGGCACTTACTAGAGGAACTTTAAAGTGAAGATGGTGAGCATTTTGAAAATCATTTCATCTAAAGCAGACAAACGACTAAATACTAGAAGCGCAACAAATCTTGTCTAGACCAAAACGAACCTCCCTTTGATGTACCGATCAAGGAGCGAACGCAATCACACGCCAACGCTAACCTTGGAAACCTTTGGCTTATGTTGGCTCGCGCCGTACACACCGATTCGAACACCTCCAAATCTGTAACCACATGTGCCTTGGCTTGCGTTGGGATCTCCGTCTGTACTCGGCTTAAGAGGATCTAGGGATTTACAATTTTATCATTACATACTCATTTGTTTTTATGTTATTATATTTTTCCCATATTATTTCCCAATCAGCTCTCATCTGCTTTTTCTACATATTCATATATTCACATATAGGCAGGATGTGGTCCAGGCTTTCAAGTAGGGGTTATTGATAGATAAGAGAACAGCTTAAGCTTCAAAATGATATCGTCAGAGAATAATTAAAGCATACTGTTAATGGGATTTCCCCTAAACCGGCCAATTGTGATCATGGATCATGCAAAAAGAATCAGTCCATTGCCATAATAGGGCAATGGTAGAACTTTATTGCGATGGTAGAAAGGTTTGTAATCTTGGAGGGTGTTATAAGATCTGTGAAGTAATAACAGGGTTTGAAAAGGGGATGTTGAAGATATATGGGCGAAAGGGGATGGTGGTGATTGTTTTTAAGTTGCTGTCCAACTAGCAAATATGTTTTATAATTGTCGTGCTATTTTATTTTATAACTGCTTTATTACTGCTCTTAGACTGCAATTTTGCTTTAATATAATTGCTGGTATGACAATCAGAGGTATTTTGCTTTATAAGGTTGTCATAAAGCAAAATTTCAAAACAGTTTTAGGACAAATATTAATACTATTCTATAAAGGATTACACAAAATTTTATACGACATGTAAGTTAACTGAACAAATTTGTTTTATATAAGATTTATACTGATATAGTTTATTCGTATGCAAACATCAATCAAATTATTTTATTAGCGCTCTGTGTAACAATTATAAAATTAATTTATTAATATTTTCTTTCTGATATGTCGCTCGCTAAAGCATATTGCACTCTCGACTTCCCAACTAGGAAAGATATTTTATAATTATTATCAACTACCCGAGGTCGGTTAAATTAATACAAGAATGTGGATGTTAGTGCTTAACTATACTTCGATTTAAAATTAACAAATTTAAAGACGGATAAATCAATGCCTTATTCATTTTGGCAAATGTATTTTATAATTTTGTTCTGTTTTATGATAATTGTATAATATTTTTAAAGGTTCCATCCGAGTGCAATATGCTGAGCGAGCGATAATACTGAAAATAAAATATTAATAAAGATATTTTATAAATATACCACATAGCGCTAACAAAACTGTTTTAGTGATGTTCGCAAACGAATAAACACATATCAGATAATACCAGTATAAATCTGTTATGAAACAAATTTGTTCAATAGGCTTATATTTCATATAAAATTGTTGTATAAACATTTAGAAAACAATATTTAAATTTGTGGTAGGACTGTTTTGTATTTTTGCCCTAAGAACGTTTTTACGACTACCTTATAAAGCAGAATGCTTCTTAAAAACTTAATTGTCTTACTGGAAATTTTATTAAAACAAAATTGCATTCTAGGAGCAGTAATAAAGCAGATATAAAAAAATCACAAAGAATTGAAAATTATAAAATATCTTTGCTAGTTGCAAAGCATTGAAATCCATTTTTGCCTTAATGCATCGAATTTGTAGCACCTTGTAGCACCACATTAACTTTTTTTCAGCAATGCATCTCTGTTTAACTGAAATATACACATAAATTAAATATTTTATTAAAATCTCGTATAAAGCAAACACGTTTAATAAGAACTCTCAAGGTGGTAAAAGTATTTTATAACATGGAAACCATATTTTGCGTTATTTCATCTTTAATTTACGACGGCCATTTTTAAGTGCATAACAAAAAATCATTTTTGCAATGTTAAAATGTCTTAATTGACTACTTTAGTATTTATATAATGGTATAAGATGGTTCAGTTGATTTTTTTTGCACAGGCCAGAATAGAAAAAATACAGAATCGAAATTTTCTCTTAAAATTTAATAATAACTAACATGCTTGAAGCGCTACAAATATCCCATACATTATACAACAAAAATTCTTGCGCAGTAAAATATCAACCATCAGATTGGAATTTAAATTTCTATCTGTCTGGTATTGGGTGTATATATGAGAACTAAATCAACATGGCTGATGTAGTTACTCAAACATATATTATTTGCTAAAAAAATATAATGCTTGCCTTTTTGTTGTATCAAGGATCATTAAAAAACAAATTATGCTCATTAACAACAAAAGCAAACTTTTAATGTCAGTCAAAATAAAAAAGCAGCACCTAAGATAATGAAATAACCTTTATAAAATTGTGTTATTCTAGTTCTATAACTGTTTTCAGTAAAATTGTTTTGCAAGTGTGCCATAATAAGTTTTATAATAATTTTAGAAACCTTTAAACAGCTGGTGAAAGCTGTGAAAGGCATAATAAAACAAATTAAATAACAAAATTGCTGCAAAAGAGTGTCCGTTTTTCGGTCTATAAACGTTGTATAAACGTTGTCAGAACGTTTATATCGGCATTGTTGTTTCATAAAAATAGTTCTGAAAACGTTGTTAGGACATTTATAAAACATAAATTGTTTGTTGTGTGGGAACGGGAGATATGGAGAAGTGTTATCACCACAAGAGGGGGTCTGTGCATAGAGCATAGGCGTGTGGAGAAGTATGACTTCGGGGTCTAAAAAGATGTCCAGTCGGTCAAAGCATGCTTCATTACCTTTAAGTCAATCAAAATAAGCCACTACCACCATTAAAAATTTTACCTGACCTTGACCATAATTGTCAAGGTCAAATCCACCATCGCCATTGGCCAGTCTGGGAGGAATCCTAACAATGATCTGTTTTACTTCTTCTCTGTTGATATTACTCTAAAGCTTTTGTTGTCATTTCCCATATCTATCAATAACTCCTATTTAGGGGATGTGTGGATTCAGTAGGAAGTCGAGGTGCGGTTTCTGGGGGTTGGTGCCATTGGGACCTTTGATGTTGAAAACTACCCATATGCAGAATTTCAATTAATTTGACCGAAAACCATTTTTCATGAGAAAACTGTTTTTCTTTAAACATTATTTTCAAACAAATTGCCAAAATTAGTTTTTCGCTCTAAAAACGTCTTTAGTAGATGTTCTCTAAAGTTGACCATTTTGGTATTGCAAGCCATTTAAGGTCTGAAGAACGCTTAAAATATCCATGCTCAATGCTTAAGAACTCGGCTAGAG